TCTCTCTCTCTCTCTCTCTCTCTCTCTCTCTCTCTCTCTCTCTCTCTCTCTCTCTCTCTCTCTCTCTATTTACGCAAACGACCACAAAAACATGGTGGGCCAGTGTTTTGCCACCGGCCCAACAAAACAAAAATATGAAGAAAAAAAATTGCATCAACAGTTCTTTTTTTTTCCCCATTTTCGTTTTTTATTTTTTCCTCTTCCAGTAGATGTCACAAAAAATGATTAAAAATCATAGGCGTGTAGAGCTTTTTTTTATCTACACGCCTATATTTTTTTTAATTTTTTTTTCGCCTATTTTTAGGCCCCGAAAAAATTCTCGGGGTTTCATGCCCGCACTCGGCCACGGGCGTTCGGCCGCCGTGGGCGGGATCCCGACCGGGGTTGGTAAAATGGCCCGCAGTCGCGACCGCGCGTGATATATAGACGAGAGACCCCCGTTTTTCCGTTAAACGGGATTCAACTGGGCCCCTGGGGCGATTCAACGGGGTCCAACGGAATTTAACGGCCCCCGTTGCCCGTTGTTCGGACACACAGCTTACGGGAGCTAGCGGGTTTGGAAGTCTATGAGCTTAAACTCATCTGCAAGAACGAAGATGTACACTACAGCACGAAGATGAGGGCACTTTTCAATATTGCCGACAAGAGAGCCGAGGTGGCCTACGGACCTGTGGGCGAAGAATTTGAGTATGACCAAGGAGATAGACAGGAAGGAGAGGGCTGTGACGAAGAGGAGGAGGATGAGAACGACGAGAATAATGATGGGCACGGCAAGAAAGAAGGAGACGAATGAAGGAACCTTTCAACTAGCCAACTTTGGCGGCTGAACAACCGGCTAATTAACACAAAGAAGGAAGGTAAGTACACCAGCGAGGATTTGAAGACGATCCACCGTATAGTCACACTGTTGCTAGCACTAAGTGGGGAAATTAGGTGGTTAAGGAAGTGTTTGGACTCGTGGGTCAACCTTTACGAGATTAAGGGAGTTGAATTCCTACTGTCATGCAACAATTGTGTTTACATCTTGACTTCGTCTATATGCCGAGCACTGTATGTAGGGCAAACTAGACGGGCAAGAAATATTCGGTGGAAGGAACACTGCTCTCTCAGTGACCGGAACAATAGGGAAACTCACCTGTATTGATGGTGGCGGAGGTTTGGGAGGGAGTCCTACGTCATGCTACCGGTATATGCCAGGAATACTGAAGATCTATTGTTGATCGAAGGAGTGTTCATTTAGTGATGGCACCTAGTCTGAATACTAATAGCATGAAAGCACGGACCAGCAAGAAGGGTACGAGAAGGAAAGGTAAGGCAGAGAGAAGGAAGCAGGGTACAGGAAAAGGATTGGGAGAAGTTTTGCGCAGTGTGTGCCTTGTCAGAGTTAGAATGGAGGGACAATCAGAGGCGACTGTGGGGATTTTTAAGTTACTCGCTGATGCGGACGAAAAAGGGAATCGAACCTTCAAGCTTACAAGTATTGGAGGAAACACTTGGGCCGATAGGTGGGAAGATATTAGGAAGGCATTTGGACAGTCTACAGTCGTCATAGAAGGAGTGACAAGCCGCCTGTCCACGCGTAAAGCCGCATTTACCTCACCAGCCATGATTGCAATATGTCCAACCTCGAGCCTATTTATACCTGTCGGTAGAGCCCTTTCCTATATGTCAGTATGCCCCATATTCACCCTCTCCTCTCTGTTACTATTTGTCTCTACGCCCAGCTTTTCCAATGCTCTTCTCCCCTCCTTTCCCCCAAAACCGCTTATTCTATTTTCCAGCCTCCTAATCCTCTCTCCCCTACTCTTCCCCCCCTCCCCCCCTATTCCTCACTAGTTTACGAACCCCACTCTCTTACTAATTTACCCTTGCCTACCACTAACCATTGTAGTACAGTACATAGAACCAGTTGTTTCAGCCCACGTGCAAACTGGCATATTTGTGCAACAATGAGCCTTCTCGAACTACATAAGTTTTCTGCATCTGGAAAAGCTGTCCGTGGGCTAAGTCCCACTGCGTTTTTTTTTTTTTTTTTTTTKTTAAGTCTTCCTTCCGAGCATTTTGAACGTGGCCAGAGTGCGGACCTCAGGTGTTCAGATAAGATGACAAGAACCTGTGCCCGCTCTAAATTAAGCCTAAAACCCGGCGAGTGGGACTTGGCCCAGTGTCCCTTGTGCGTCTACTGGCTCGATTAGGAAATCTAATGCGGTTTCCCTCGCACCCTCCTCCTCTCCTCGTCCATATTCTAATCGCCATCTTTTTTTTTTTTTTTTTGAAATAGCCAAGTGAATTAATCTCGCACAGGGCATTTCACACTCACTATCAGGTTTGGCTCTAGGTATTAACACCCAGCTCCTCTCACTACTAAAAGTTCGATTTTGTACCCCTATCTGTCACCGGCAATTGTCATTATTATGATTATTGTTACACTCGTCATAGTTTTACTTTCACTTCTTAAACAAAAAATAAAATAAAAAAAATTACTTTCACTTCACAATTTTATTTTCTTTTTCTCTTTTTTGTTTTTTTCTGTTTTTTCTTTTTTTCTTTTTTTCTGTCTTTCTTTCCTTTCTTTTCTCTCGTATCTCCCTTCCTTCCTCCTTTCTTTTTTTTTCCCTCTCTTTTTTTATAAAGGGCGATGGCCTTGAGAAATCATCATTGAACTGACCGGCCCCAGGTAACTCAGAATGATTTTATTCTGGTCATCTGATTGCATCTCGATTCGAACTTGGGTCAGTATTTCAATTTCAAAAGTTCGTGGGTGTACCAAGCCCCGTTCGTACACAAGTTTACTTTCACTTCACCGCTGTCGGAGATAGGAACAAGCAGAGGGGGAGAAGATGAAGATTAGGATGAACATCAATTGGCCATTGCTTGTCTTTCATCTTCTGCGAAAGGGAAGGGGAAAAAAAAAACACAGAAGGGATTTCTCAGAGTGGTATCTCGAGTGCATCATGCAGCTTTCTTTGTGAAGGTACATTGTTTGTTTTTTTGTTTTTTTTCCCTTCTCCAAGGCACAAGCCTGGTTGCGCGTAATTAGCGAGGGTCCAAAGTATGCGCTAAGTAAGTTATAACTAATAACCCAGTTTGAGGGTTCAGTACGGGCATCGTCCCGCCACTAGCCCCAAGTGGGACAAATTGGGCATGGCTGACTAATTGGTGCGTCAAATGGGACAAATGGGGCATGGCGACTAATTGGCGAGTCCTTTGGTCCCAACCCAATGGTCCCGGAATGTGGGACAGCGTGAGGGGGTTAGTGATGCGATCGGGTGGAAGGCGTTGACGAATTTTTCTTTCACTTTCTTCTTTGGTGCTTTTTTTTTTTTTTTTTGTGTGTGTGTGTGTGTGTGTGTTTGTTTGCTGTGCTTCCCACCCTGTCCCACGGTCTCATGATCCCGATCTTCTTCGAGATCCCGATCTTCATTGCGATCCACGTGTTCATTGCAGTTTCAGTCCTTATTGATAACCTGCTCTTCATTGCAATCCTGTTCTTCATTGCGCTCCCGACCTTCCGTGCGATCCCGATCTTCATTGCCACCCTCATCCTTATTGCGCTCAGGATCTTCAGTACGCTCCGGTTCTTCGTTGCGATGCGACCCGGATCTTCACTGCGATCCCGATCTTCGTTGCGACAAGGATCTTCATCACGATCCCTATCCGCGTTCCGAGCGGGATCTCAGGATCTTCATTGTAGCCCTTATCCCAATCATGTGTGCAATTCTGAAGTGACTAGAAGAATCATCAAGAGCAGGACGGAAAAGGAGTCTCAGAGGAGCCGAAGAAGGGCGTAGTGATTCGCCATCTTCACTATCGTGCGGATCGCCATGATGATTGCGACTGTTACAGCAACAACAAGGAGGAGGCCGAGGAGCAGAAGGAGGACGAGGAGGAGGAGGAAGAGGAGGAACAGGAGGAACAGGAGGAACAGGAGGAACAGGAGGAAGAGGAAGAAGAGGAGGAAGGTGAAAAGGAGGACGAGAAGGAGGAAGAGCAGGAAGAGAAGGAAGAGGAGGAAGAGGAGGAAGAGGAGGAAGAGGAGGAAGAGGAGGAAGAGGAGGGATAGGACGAAGAGGAAGAAGAGGAGGAAGAGGAGGTAGGGGAACAGGAGGAGGAAAGGGAGGAGGAGGAGGATGCGGAGGATGCGGAGGAAGATGACGGAGAGGACGAAGAGGAAGAAAAGGAAGAAGAGGAGGCAGAGGAGGAAGGGGAGAAAAAGGAGGAGGGGGAGGAAATCGGTATAGATTGTCATCCTGTTGCGATTTCGAGTCTCGTCCTGTTCCGCGATCTCGATTAGGATCATGCTTGTCCTCTTGTTATTCAGTTTCATGGCAATCTCGCTTTGAAAGAAGAAGAAGAAGAAGAAGAAGAAGAAGAAGAAGAAGAAGAAGAAGAAGAAGAAGAAGAAGAGTGACAAGCAAATGCTCCCATACAAATAAGCTTAAACAGAATGATACAATATCAACCAGCATGTTTCAGAACTTAGCTCGGGCAAGGAGAGGAAGAGGAAGAGGAAGAGGAAGAGGAAGATGTCAGCGTTAGGAACAAGCAGAGGGGGAGAAGGAGAAAACAAGAGGAGAGAGCATCAGGGCGATACCACTGCCGACGTTGAGAAGCAGAGGTCAAGTGTCAGATCATAGTCATACAGCCGCAGTTACGGCTGTCCTGGGATGGACGCATCTGACAGAAATCACGCCAAGAATTCAGTATAAACATCTGCTGCACCGAGAGTGAAGGACTTGGACACCGCGAAGATAAACAAATGATCCAGATTCTTAGGAAATGAAAAAACAGGACCAAGAAAAAAGGGCAAATATTTCTACTTAAATTTATATAGTATATATCAATTTCTACGACGTATTTGTATTTGTTTATATATTTTGCCTTGGCTTGTCTGACGAGGATGTGAGGGACGAAGTACCTCCTCTCCATGGTTTTGATCTGGCATAGGTGAGACAGACTCTTTCATTCATTTATGTATGGAATAATTTGGGAAAGGTCGTAAAACCTCCCCCGCGACGAAACCTTTGTATCCATTTCCCCCCAAACGAGAGAAAAGGGGGCAAATGGATACAAAGGTTTCCTCACGGGGAGGTTTTATGACTTTTCCCGAATAATTTCAGAAATAGCGCATTTTCGAAGTTCCCCAGCGGAGATGTTGTCGGGGGGCGAAAGAAAGATGTTTGTTTTTGCAACGAAAGTGGGACCCCGGCCGCAATTTTTTTTTTGAAATAACTACGGCGCAGTCAGGGTTACAGTTTGTAATTGCATCTCAAACTTCGTTTTAGCAGTTTAGTCAGGCCCCGAGTTTCAAATGCAGTTGAAACTCGGG